CTGAGCCGAGGGAAAGTAGGGGCTCGGCTTGGGCGCCCCGATAACCGGAGGAGGAGGAGACGCCGCGATCGTGCGTTAGCAGGGAACCGTGAGTCACGGAGACGCCGCCGCCGCCAAGGGAACGAGAGGGATGCCAGATTGTGTCCCCCTCGGCGCACTCCCCCGGAGAGCCGACCGGGAGGAAGATTGTGTCCCCTCGGCGCACTCCCCCGGAGAGCCGACCGGGAGGAGGCGGGAGAGGGAGAGGGAGAGAGATGGGAGGGGGTCAAGATGGCAAGACGTAAAAAAAAAAAAAAAAATAATAGAACAGAAAAACAGATGAGGGGAGAAAGCGGAGCGGACTGGTATTCTCAGGTCACGTAACGATGACGGATCTCTCTCCCCTGGTGCCGGAGCATTCCCATCATCCCCACCACCACCACCAGGAGCCGTGCGACGAGGCCGTTGATGGACATTCGCCATTACAGGGACGGCAGCCGTCCCCTCCCATCCCCGAGGACGGCTGAAGGTCTGTCCACGAGACAGGGCGGCCCCGGACACCCCCCTTAACGGAGAGCGTGCGCTTCGGGGGCGAGTTAAAAAGACACCGACATCCCTGAAGCTTGGGAGTGTGTGTGCGCGCGCGTGTCCCTCCCCTCCTCCAGACACGCAGCTTGGGTTTGACCCACTACTCCAACCTGCCCCTTCCTCTGGGGGCAGCTGACAGACCAGTGCCCCCTCCTGGGGTGGGGGGGTGGGACAGCAGCCTTGCACCCCACACCGCTGGGAAAAGACTCTCCTGTCTTGACCTCCCCCGCCCAGGAACTACTAGAGCGAACCTGGTCAAGACAGTCGGGTCCAACAGCTGATCCAGGACACGACAAAACCACAGGCTCGTTACTGGAGACGCTTTCTCCACTTCAGGAGAGAAACACGTTTCCGACTCGCCCGGCTGAAGGATTTTCAAGTGCCGAGAGCGAGTACACACACAAAACTCAATTGATGTTTTTTCCCCCCTTTCATTTCCGAACAGCGCGAGGACAACGCGTAATCCGCTTCATCGGAGAGCGCTTCAGCCTGCTCCTCCGCGGCACGTTCTCCCATTTTCTTCCCGCTATTGAAGTTCCGAGGCTAAAAAAAAAAAAAAACTCCGGAGCGAGACCGACTGCGATAAGGAAAAATTGGCTGTTTCTTCCCGGGGGCGGGAGGGGGAATCCAGATAAAATCCCGGGATGTCAGCAGCCCCTAGTGGACAGTTTATTTTATTAAACGAAATAAAGAGCCACTGAAGCGATCAAAAACGGATTCTTTGCTAACCCTACGTCCTTCGGATG